CAGCGCGACCCAAAGCCTCCAAGAATCTGAGTTGTCCCTCTAGACGTGAGATGGCTTCGGAACAGCGCTAAACAACGTCGACATCACCTACGAGATTGAGGTTATTCAAACTGTTCGTAAGCATGGGCTTGAAGGTATCAAAAGTATCTCGTCCGGCTAGCACAACCTCAATTATTTTCTTGGTAAGCCCTCCCAGGTAGTCAAGGGAAATCTTGACAAAATCTGGTACGTCTGCGGGGCTCGAAACAGCAATAGGCGACGGTACAGAAACTTCTGAACACGCGAAGCCAAGTAAAAGACCAGCAGGTGATTTCGGTGTAGTAGCTTGGGAAGGAGTGCCAATATCCAGCTGAGATGGACTCGATTGCAAAGCCATCAGTTCCCCCATTTGAGATGACCTTGGCACGTCTACAACTTCCGTAGAGGCTAAAGAAATCGTCAATAAAGTCGTCGGTGGGAGGACCGTCGTCGAGGTCTCCAAGCGAGGTGGCTCTGACACTTGAGCCGGCGCTAGCATAAGCTGTTGCGTCGAAGGAGGGGTGACAGTACTTGCCTCATGTATCATAGGATCTGCACGAGAAAATCGTTTAAATATAGATTAAAGATTAGTCACAAGATGAAATAAACAACACTTAGTGAGAGGTAGAGGAATGTAGGCTGACGCTTTGTCGGAAAAAGATGGTGGTGGAATATCCCAGTCATCGGGATCATCGCTGTCATCACCCAGGTTGTCTTTGCTCCCTTCATTCCCACGCTGGTCGCGTTCATCATCTGTAGTATCTGCACCTTCACCGTGATCCGTAGGTTCCTCTTCGCCTACAGGGGAAATGCTGGCGCATCTTCGGCGACAGTAGGCTTTGCTATGATTCCAGTAGTAGGACTAGGCTGCGAGTCGCCTACAATTGGTAATAACACAGAAGTGGAAGGAGACTTGTCCGTGGCTAAGCCTTGCTGGGCAGCCTCTAGAGGTTCTGGGACATGGGATATGTCTTCTGCAACATGAGAGGCAGTGGAGGCAGTATCATGAAGCGTGTCTTCAGGGACAAACTCTGCACCCCCTGCAAAAGATTCATCTCCACACTCTTCTTCATGTAATGAATGAGCAGAAGAATCATGGCCTCCTAAAGCAGGACCAACTGAGGGGAGACCAGGCTGAGGCGAGAGTTCCATAGCAGTCGATTCTTGTTCTTCATCTTCGGTACACCATGCTTTCTGAGCATCCGTCATAAGTTTGGAAGCAGGGGGTTCGAGCGTTAACTTCCGACGAGCTCTTTTGTCATACTTGGCTTCTTCGACCGGCCCTAGTGCCCTCTTTCCAGTGGCATTCTTACTCCGAGTCTGAACTCTTGAAGGTTCTACCTCGCGAGTATCCGGCATCCTGACCTCTTCCTGAATTGGCTTTGGTGATTGTTGTCGTTCATCCTCTAGAATCGACTTCTCATATGATAAATATTCGCTAGCACCACGGGCGCGGAACCTTTTAGCACTCTTCTTTGAAGCATACCATTTACGGATGGCCTTCAAACAAGAAGTATTCATATTGTAAGCTGAAATCTGAGAAGCGGCCTGGTACCAGGTACAGAAGCTCAGAGAGGTACGTGCATTGGGCATCTTATGTGGTAGCCGGAATTTTGCTCCGGTACAACCAGCCACCGAGTAGTACCAAGCTCGTGCTCCTTCATACACATTACCTGTGTACGCAAGAGTAGGGTTTGGGTTCCCAACATAGAGCTGATCATAGCCAAATTGCCGAGAAAAACGATAAGGCTGATATGGTTCAATAAAGCATTTCCGCCCTTGTCGAAAAATAAGATAGCCCGGACGAATGTTTATGAGCCACCAAAAGGCACCCCTGCTAAGCTTGGTGAAAGAATTCGGTCCCGGAGTGTCTTGATGGAGTTCTCCATACGCGCCACCTTCGAAAGCAGGAAACTTGCAAGCAATCTCGTAATTATAATCCCGTCTCAATATTTCACAGAATTTAACTTGATACCAACCAGCCCACTCAGAGGTTTCTAACTGTTGAACAAGAGGAGCTGAAGTGCCACTTGATTCGGGAGTCGTCATTATCGGAGGGCAATGCAACACAAACCAAGACACCAAATAAATGTATGGCATCGGTACTCGAGGGGTTGGGGTCTGAATGATAGTCTTCCCGTCGGAATCCACTTTCTTGACAGCAATAAACTCGGAAGATAGTTCCCGCAAGCCACTTTGTAAGCAGCACAAAAGAAGATTCAAAGGTCGTCCATAAGCCAGTAGAACAGCAGGGTATAAAACTTCTACTGTAATAGCATCCACTGGCCTTGTGGGTACCACACAACGCTTCAACCAAAGAGTTAGAAAACCAGCAAACAAAGCCATGTCGGAGATTGGGACTTCTGCCTGATAATGGAAGCTCTCAAATGTGGTGAACGCTGGGAAAACATCCTCTTCTACCTCACAAGTGTAGTGAGAAGTTGCATCATTGATGCGTTCCGCGATCTCCTCAAGAGTACTGGCGGCTAAGCGAGTCACATCGGCTTCTTTGTCCCATAGATTGCGAAAAAGATACTCCGACCACTGTCCTTGTTTCACGCCGCTTGCTCTTTTCCCAGTAATGTGTGCACATATCTGGAAATGGCACATCAATTCCCAGTAAGTGTCGTAGATTTCGGGAGCACCATTTTTTAGGATCTCTAATTCCCTGCTTCCGGGAACAAACTCCTCATAAGGCAATTCTCCAAAAGACAGTCCAGAAATTTCAAACATTTCGTGGAGAGCGAAGCCCAGTTCACCAACTAGGATGAAAAAGGTGCCGGTGTGAGGGTTGTAGAATTCCAGCATAGCGAAGAGTCCGCTGTAATTCGGAGGAATGCCATATCGAGTGGCCATTATTGGAACTCTCAAATACGAAATTCTCAAAGGTTCTTCTAGTTCCTCCAAGACGAAATTTATCATCCGGGCCCACCAGTCCGCATCACTGGAGTGAACCCAAGTAGGGGCCCTGAAATCCCGAGCAGGGAACTCTCCTTTAACAGAAATAAATGTTCTAATAAACACCTCCGCCAACTTAGCAGGCTCTCCGACAGGGTGCTCTTTCTGGAATAAACCTGGCTTCAAAGCCATAAAATTATTGAAACCAGCGGGATGAGTACCCCGATGAGTGATGTGACCCGTGGCAACACCGCCTTGGTCCTGAACAAGTTCCCAATTCATCGACCGCGGGATAGAAGCGCACTGATAATAAGAGATCGGCCACATCCGCTCCAAATTGGGAAGGAAAAGACGACGGTTGTTGGCGACCTTCAGCCATTTGTAATTCCCCTCGGACATCCGCTTGGGGTCCATTTTTACAGAATCCCCGAATAGGAAAGATGGCTTCTTTAAAATCTCACGCTCTGCGGTTTCAAATTTGGCATTCGTAACCAAAGACCCGAGAGTCTCAGGAAAAGCCTGAGTGATGAGTTTCGCCCGCTCTTTGTGGGTGTCCTGAAATATTGGATACTCGAAGGCAAAACTGAAGATTGTATTCTTCACCGCACCTCCCGCGTGACCAAAGTAGTAGTTGAACGAAAGAGGATCATTGGAGTAGCACACTGCAAATAAGGAAAAAATCAATCAGAGGAAGTCTAACTCAAGAATACAAGTCTCAGACCTGCGTCCAGATCATACAGGAT